ACCATATGTCTACAATCCAGGTAAGACTGACTCAACACTGTATCTTTTAAATTACGCTGCAAAGTGCATTTCCTCAGCTTCTCTAAGAAGTATTTGTAGAGTGACTGTTATGTGGATTTTACCATGAGGCTACTACATCCCCATGGTCTCTTGGTACCATTGTAGAACTGTTGGGTCAGACGTGGCTGTTGAGGATACTATTTTCTTGTCTCTTTTCTCTGAAGCCAGCCTATGCCTCCAGGAAGAACTTTAATACCAGAGAATCATGGTTTGGGACCAAGTTATATTTTTGCTCCTGGCTCCATGAGAACAAAACATTCTACAGGGATGAAGGGAGAAGCTGACTGGAGCAAACAGCAGATACAGGAGGATTTCCTATGAAATGAGATTAAGATGAATACAAAGTAGCAGATTCCAGAGGAATTTCAGGGTCAGGACCTATTTATTACCTTCCTGATGACAAAGTCTGAGTGTTGTTGATTCTTCCATCTATAGACCATTGACGGCATTTGAAGAGACAGTTCAGAATGACATTGCTTTTGGCCCGGTGCAGTGGCTCATGCCTGTAATCCTAGCACTCTGAGAGGCCGAGGTGGGCGGATTGCTCGTGCTCAGGAGTTCGAAACCAGCCTGAGCAAGAGCAAGACCCCGTCTCTACTATAAAAATAGAAAGAAATTAATTGGCCAACTAATATATATAGAAAAATTAGCCGGGCATGGTGGCACGTGCCTGTAGTCCCAGCTACTCAGGAGGCTGAAGCAGGAGGATTGCTTGAGCCCAGGAGTTTGAGGTTGCTGTGAGCTAGGCTGATGCCACGGCACTCACTCTAGCCTGGGCAACAAAGCGAGACTCTGTCTCAAAAAACAAAAGAAAAGAAAAAGAATTACATTGCTTTCAACAATACCCAGAGACATAAATTCCTTCACAGCCTAAACTAAAAAAAAAAAAAAAAATTGGGCTTTATAGGTCCCAAACTAATTGTTTGCTGTTTGTTCTGCCCCAGGTTGGCTACCTCAAGCTGTTTCTTCCCAGGTTCTCTGCTTTTCCTTTCAGCCAATATCTCTGGGTCTAGGCTTTAGAGCTGAGAGTAGGGACAATGACCCACTTCTGACATTTATGCTTTTAGAGTTAAGTGTTCAGTGGTGGCAGCTGGCTGGTAGCCTCATATTTTTTTCAGCGACCCTCTGCTAGTATAGAACCACTGGCTTTCAGTGTGGCAGGAGTGATGAGCCCCCAGTATTCTCAGTGGCATCATGCTACCCAGGGAAGAACCTCCTCACAAGCAGTTGATGGGTGGAAGGGAACCCCTGCCTCTGGTGCCACATTCACTAGGAATTTAGCCTTAGCAACAAGAATTTGAGGGTAGTATGAGAAATGCTGATATCCTTAAGTTTTTTTGTATGTATAGACATGAGGTTTGTGTGCAAGTTTTTTCAAATTGCCACAAATCTCCAACAATTTTCCAATGTATTTATTGAAAAAAATCTGCATATAAGTGGATCCATACGGTTTAAAACTGTTGTTAAAGGGTCAACTGTACTCTGAAAATTGTGTAGAGGAAACTTAGAAAAAAGTGTGGGTCCTCCATGACATCTTAAGGCATTGAACAAATCCTAAAAGCTTTAAACTTCTATTTATGTGAGATAATTAAAGACAAACAAAAATCTTTTTTTTTTCTTTTTGTGTCTAACTAAAGACAAAAATCTTTAGTGTTTAACTTGTAATGGAGCCCCTCTGGTATGTTTTACGACAGGTGTTTTAAAGTCACTACAGTACATACAGTTTCCTTCACCCTCACTGACTCAGGATATTCTTGCCACCATCACACAAGACAAAATAATCTTAACTTTACAGCTGTTCTAAAAGCGAACCCCAAACCATTTAATTTAATCATGAGTCATTCACATGTTAAAAGATGGACAGTGTGTCCCTCCCAATTTTAAAAATTACTGCCAAGGCTGGACATGGTGGCTCACGCCTGTAATCCTAGCACTCTGGGAGGCTGAAGTGGGTGGATTGCTCCAGGTCAGGTGTTCAAAACCAGCCTGAGCAAGAGCGAGACCCCGTCTCTACTATAAATAGAAATTAATTGGCCAACTAATATATATAGAAAAAATTAGCCGGGCATGGTGGTGCATGCCTGTAGTCCCAGCTACTCGGGAGGCTGAGGCAGGACGGATTGCTTGAACCCGGAGTTTGAGTTGCTGTAGCTAGCTACGCCACCGGGCACTCACTCTAGCCTGGCAACAAAGTGAACTCTGTCTCAAAAAAAAAAAAAAAAAATTACTGCCGATGATGAGTAACAGTGCTCCTTGTATCCTTGCATGCTACTTTAGCCACATTTCTCTTTAAGTCTTTTTTTTTTGAGACAGAGTCTCACTCTGTTGCCCGGACTGAGATGCTGTGGCACGCCCTAGCTCACAGCAACCACAACTCCTGGCTCAAGCGATTCTCCTGCCTCAGCTCCCAGTAGCTGGGACACAGCGCATGTGTCACCATGCCGCCCTAATTTAAAAAATTATACATAACAGCGCTAGCACCGAGAATATAGTACTATTACTGATATACAATTTTTTTTACTGGCCCAATTTCTTTCTATTATAGTACAGATGTGGGTCTCGTTCTTCTGCTCCAGGCTGGTTTCGACCCTCGACCCTTGAGCGTGTCGCCATTGGCCCCCAGATGGCTAGATTACAGACGTGAGCACAGCGAGCCAGCCACTTTAATCTTAAAACAGAATTCTGGAATATTAAGTGAATCTCTATTCTCGAACCCAAGGTCTGTACAGATACTGTCTTAGCCCTCCAAAATCTGACCTATCTCGGAGAACATGTTCCACACCATCGGTCCATTTTCATCCACCAATGTATCCACCGTCATTCAACCGTGACTTATGTGCCTCTCCACCTTCCAACAGTCATGAGAAAAGAAAAGAAGTTTACCCAATGAACGAGCTGACTAACTTTTCAATGATATAATTCTCAATCGGGTTTGTTAGAATTAGTAACATGGAAAAAAAAAAAACTTTGTTTTTGGTTCTTGTCTGCCAGCCAAGAATATTATTGGCAGAGTTTACCGTTCTTTCCCCCTTCATTCTCCATCTATGCTCATCCTTTCTATGGTCTCACCCAATATCATGACTTGAAGTCACATGTAAGCTAACATCCCAAATTTACATAGCCAGGTGATCACCTTCCCCTACCAGTGTATTTCCTTGCGTTCCCATAAACATTTCAAACTGACCGTGTTGGAAACTGGACTCCCACCTCCTCCAAGTCACCACTACCATGCACCCCGCTCTCTGGGAATATAAATTCTCAATGGAGAGTCTCTGTGCATCTGTGAGAAGGGGCCTGGGCCCGAAAAAAGGCCCTCCAAGAGAGGGTAGTCAATCCCATCCCAACGTTTTGGGGAGGTGTCCAGCATCCATTTTTTTTTTTTTTTTGAGAGAGAGTCTCACTTTGTTTCCTAGGCTAGAGTGAGTGCCATGGCGTCAGCATAGCTCACAGCAACCTCAGACTCCTGGGCTCAAGCAATCCTTTTGTCTCAGCCTCCAGAGTAGCTGGGACTACAGGCATGTGCCACCATGCCTGGCTAATTTTTTCTATATATATTAGATGGCCAATTAATTTCTTTCTATTTTTAGTAGAGATGGGTCTCGCTCTTACTCAGGCTGGTTTTGAACTCCTGAGCTCAAGCAATCCGCCCGCCTTGGCCTACCAGAGGGGTAGGATTACAGGCGTGAGCCACTGCGCCCGGCCTCCAGCATCCTCTTTTTGGAGGTTATTTTAACTGCTCATTTATCTGTTTTCCCTATAAGAGGATCGGAAAGAGGAAACGTGAGCGGGAAGTCCCAGGACCAGTCTAAGACTAAGTGCCTCTGCACTTGCCTGACCCTGGGCGATTGTCCCCGCTCCTGGATCTTGCTCGATCTCCCTGAGTGTAGAAAGCATGGTTTGGTCCCTATGACCTGTGACCTGTGTAAAAAGGAGGCCCTGAAGCAACCCACAGTCCTCCTGCGTGTTAGGTCGAGAGCCGAGAGACAGACACATGAAGCCTCGTGTGTAGAAAATGCTGTTTATTTTGAGCATCTGGGTGCAGATGGGTGGAGGCCGAAAAAAGAGTCCACGAGAGAAAAGGGGAGAGCCTTGAGTTTTATAGAGGGTTTTTTCAGGAGTAAGTGGGCCAGAACAGTTGCTTATAATAAATTCTTCTTCAAACAACCAACTCCTCGGACCCCGTTTGCCCCAGTCACATCCATCCTTCTCCTCTGGCCTTATCCTTATCAGGAGAGCTAAAGAGGAATAGCCTTCCATCTCTATCACGAAGGGAGGGAGAAGAAATGCTGACTGCAGTTGTCTGGTAGTACTAGAGTCCAGGGACTCCCCAGACTCCTGCGGCTATTGTTTATACAGGCCTAAGTTTTGTGTTAACCCCATTCCGTCCTACACATACTTTTCTGGTTCCCACCTGGAACAAACCTAACAGTGCGCACTTACCTGAAGGGAAACAGGCTTAGAAACTTCCCTAAACCTGGCCCCGTGTGGGGGGAAAAACTGCAGTACCCAGAAGGCATTGCCCCGTGCGCCTGCCGCGAGCTCTGGGCCAATCACGGCCCAGGACAGGGGCGCTTCCTGCGGCCCATGGCGGTTGAGGCGGGACTTCCTGTTGCCTAGCTGTGACGTCATCTCCCCACGCCGCCTCTGTCCAGCGAGGCTGTTGGTCCTGGAGGGTGGCCGGGTTTTACCGGGCCCGAGCAGGGCAGGCAGTGAGGAGGCTCCCTGCCCCCTCCGCGTGTGGACTAGCCTGACACGGCCGTTCTTCGCTAACAGGGTGACCCGTGGGCGCCCGTCGGGGCCTCGACCTCTGCACCCGCCCTCCATCTTCACAGCTCTGACGCGGCGTCCTGGGCTTTGTGTGCATTTTACTCGGGGAAAACTGAGGCTCGGAGTGCGAAAGTCAGCCGAGGTCATCTCCGCAAGACAGAGAAGGGCCGGGGTCGGCCGAGCCCGCGGGATCCCCGGGCCCCGCTCTGTCCACAAGGCCCCAGGATGGCAGCGGGGTGGACGGACCCGGCGCAGGTGAGCGGACGAGGGTTTTGGCCTTGGTGCAGCTCTGCTGGTTCGGAGAGGCCTCCTGGGCCGGGTGGGAACCGAGAAAGCCACTGGGTGTCTCTTTGTTGTGGTTTGTTTATGAGAAGTGGTCGTGGCTTGTCACTTATATTGTCCGCAGTGCTCCAACAACGTCGGGCTTCTGACAGGTGCTCGGTGTGTGGTTCAAGGATGAATGATGTTTCTGAGGGGTCTCATCACGTTTAGCATCAGTCCGACCTCACGTGTTGCCTGCAGGTCCCTACCCCATCCACCCTGTCTGACCTCTTCTGACCTTGTCCTTCGGTTTCTCCCTGGTCCGTTGCGCTATAGACACCATCCTGACCATGCAGCGTTCTCTTGCACTTCCCAGCCTTTGCCTTGCACTTCCCTTTGCCTGGGACACCGCCCCTGTAACTAACTGAGGGCCTCCGTCTCCCATCTTTCGGGCCTCTGCTCAGATGGCACCTATTAGGAGAGGCCTGTTTTAGCAGTTCATGTGAAAGTGATCTTTTCTACGATTCCGCAGAGTCTGGCTTTTTTGTGCAGGTGATCTGGCAATATTAAAGAAGCCTGCTGTATTGAGTTGTTCCAGGATGTTGTAGGAGCAAAGACAAAAAAATTACAGAGGACCGTAGAAGCTGACCTTCACTGAGTCCTTGCTGTGGGCTGATAGGCAGGCATTATGTATCACCTCATTTAATCCTCAACTCCTTTGACTTAGGTTCTTTTGTCATTATTGTTTTACACAAGAGGCTCACTGAGGTTCAATTAATTGCCCTAGATCACTGCAGCTCTTAAGTATTGGAAACTAGCAACCGGTATGTCGACCAGTGCAGTGTGGGTGTTTACCCTTTTCCTGCCCACAGTGGATACAGAGTCCTGGGGGTGACAACTAAAGAAACCTTTATGCGGTGAGCAGGCCACCTCCTAGCAGGTGAGCTTGGGCATGTGAGGACATGATATTTCAGGTAGGTGGAACTGTATGGACAATAAATGGTATATTGGTTGTCTAAGGATTCCCCAGGGAACCTGTGTGGTTCCTCCTACCCCCTTCCCTGCTAACACAGGTCTTGGGAGGACAAGATCACGTGGTCTTTTGCTGAATGTTCTTTCCTACTCAGCATGGCTGGACATCATGGCCAGACAGGGGCCATGTTCTCCTGGCTATAGTCTGCTGTGTCCTCTGTGACTCCTTTTCCCTTGTTTCTGAAATGTCCTGGCCTTATGGATATTTGCCAGGAGGACTCAGGTAGAAAAAGAAGTGATTCCTCATTGTGGATTCTCTGTGGGTATTGGCAAGGCCCTGAATGAGTGTCAAAGGCAGTGGGAGCTGGTACAGGCCCTGCCACTTTTGAGGTAGATGCCTCTACCTCAAGTGACTTTTCTATGAATCGGGTGATGTTGACTGTGCTCCTCTGTCCATATCCATGGAAATATTTTTAGATTGGTTGAAATGGATGTATGGATTTGAAGAGCTTCACCTTCTTAACTGTTGACTAACTATTAATGGAGGGGTATGAGGGTTATCTGATTATCTGATAATCAGATAAGGAGTATGAGGGTTATCTGGTATCTGACCAGAGAGACTACAGGAGTTGAACTCCTGCCTGTACTCATAAGATGTGTGACTTCAGGTGAACTGATAGAGTTCGTGAGGCTCAGGTCTCTGAGTATAACATGGAGACAATGATGGTGTTGATCTCAGGGGCTGTGGCCCTTCAACCCAGGGTTCCTTTGCAAACATCTTTTTAAAAAAATCTTTTGACTATTCTTGGTGAAGTGGATAACACTGTTGTGTTGATCTGTAAATTGAGACTCAGAGAAATGAAGTAAGATCACACAAGGTCACACAGTAGACAAGTGTTGATTTCAGGATTTTAGTGTTAGACTGCAGAAGTCTGGCTCCTGAGCTGGGGACTTTTAGTCATTTTGTCATGGCCTATAAAGCTCCTCAGCATGAGGCAGACATACAGTGGGGCATAAATCTGGAAAGATTTATGTGCTGGTATTGGTATTTTTTTTTTTATCATTCCTATGATATCTCAGAGCACTTATTTTCTTTGCCTCACAATCCACTCACAATGGTCCTAACTTTGTTTCAGTTTCCAGTGGCTTCCTGCATGGGAGGCTTCTCTCTCCTCTACACTCTGATAATCCTTCCAAGGAAGGATCTGCTTCCCCTTTCAGCCCGGCACAGATCTGGGCCCTCTGGGGCTACTGGTGATTTGGCCCTTGATTCTCTATGAATCTTTTATAATGGTGGAGTGACAGGTTCTAATCCTATTCCACAGTCCCAAGGCAAACACTGCTATCTCTGTTTGACTTTGCAGGTATCTGTGACCTTTGAGGATGTGGCTGTGACATTTACCCAGGAGGAGTGGGGACAGCTGGACTTGACCCAGAGGATCTTGTACCAGGAGGTGATGCTGGAGACCTGTGGGCTTCTGGTCTCTTTGGGTAAGGCCTGTCTTCTCCCCTGTGTGGGACACCTGAAGCTTCCTTCTTTCCACCCTCTGGCTTCAGGCCTGGCTGGTTGAAAAGGCGTTAGGAGCCCACTATCCTGCTCTCTATAGCCTCATTCATTTTCTGGACTTATCTTTTTCTTACTCATCTTCTTGTATTTCAGTTACAGAGGTATAGGGAAGAAACATAGTTTGCCTTTGGTCACAGCCAAAGGTGAACAGTGTGCTAGAAGGATATGGGGGTGTTTTGCAGAACCCAAAGGCAGGATTTTCAGCAGAACCCCTTGAGGGACTGAGATAGTACTTGGGAGGAAGCCTAGTTGTGCCCTGACTATTCTATATGCTGTGATTCATGGGAGAAGGTCAAGATATTATATAAACATTAAGAGGAATGTGAAAGAAGTCGATTCTAATCTTCGTGCACGACTCTGAGGGGTTCAAGACTTCAATAGAGGAAGTAACTGCAGATGTGGTAGAAACAGCAAGAGAACTAGAATTAAAAACAGAGCCTGAAGATGTGAAACTTGAATGAATAAGAAGTTGCTTCTTGGGCTGATGCAGTGGCTCATGCCTATAATCCTAGCACTCTGGGAGCCTGACCCAGGTGGATCGCTCAAGGTCAGAAGTTCGAAACCAGCCTAAGCAAGAGTGAGACCCCGTCTCTACTAAAAATAGAAAGAAATTAATTGGCCAACTAAAAATATATAGAAAACATTAGCCGGGCATGGTGGCGCATGCCTGTAGTCCCAGCTGCTTGGGAGGCTGAGGCAGAAGGATTGCTTGAGCCCAGGAGTTTGAGGTTGCTGTGAGCTAGGCTGACGCCACGACACTGTAGCCCAGGCAACAAAGCGAGATTCTGTCTCAAAAAAAAAAAAAAAAAGAAGTTGCGTCTAATGTTTGAACAAAAAAAGTGGTTTTCTGAGATGAATTCTACCCCTAGTGAAGATACTGTGAATTGTGTTTTGAAAGGCAACAAAGGATTTAAACTATTACATAAACTTAGTTGATAAAGTAGCAGCAGAGTTTGAGAGGGTAACTCCAATTTTGAAGAAGTTTTATTATGGTAAAATGCTATCAAACAGCATCACATACTACAGAGAAAGGAAATTGTGAATTGATGCCACAGATTTATTGTTGTGTTATTTTAAGAAACTGCCGGAGCCACCCCAGCCTTCAACAGCCACCATCCAGATCAGTCAGAAGCCATCAACATTGAAGCAAGAACCTACACCAGCAAAAAGACTATAACTCACTGAAGGCTCAGATGATCATTATAATTTCTCAGCAATAAAGTAATTTTTTTCTTTCTTGAGACAGGGTCAGTCTCTGTTGCTCCTGCTGGGGTGCAATGGCACAATCATAGCTCACTGCTAAAACTCCTGGACTCAATCTAGGAGTTGGAGGTTGCTGTGAGCTAGGCTGATGCCACAGCACTCTAGCCCAGGCAACAGAGTGAGACTCTGTCTCCAAAAAAAAAAAAAAAAATTTTTTTGCTGGGCTCAAGCAATTCTTCCCCTTTTGACTCCAGTAACTAGAGCTACTGGTATGAGGCACTGTGCCCACAATAAAGTTTCTTTAATTAAGGTATGTGCATTGTTTTTTTAGACACAATTCTATTACACACTTAATAGACTATAGTATAGTATAAATATACAGTGTAGTACAAATATAACTTTTGTATGTGCTGGTAAAGTAGACAATTTGTGTTTCTCACTTTATTGTATAACATTTGCTTCATTCCACTGGTCTGGAACTGAACTGCAATATCTTTGAGGTATGCCTGTGTCTATTTCAGAGGGCTATTGCAAGGTAAATGGCTCAGAACAATGCCTGGTGATAGGTGGCTGTGTGCAGGTCAGCAACTGTGACGCTGCTCTGTTACTGATGCCATCATCATGGTCATGATCATTATCATCACACTTAGACTCAGCATTTTCTGGGACAACATTGTGTAGCTTTTTGGTTAAATTAGCCAGATGCTAGTGATGACTAGACTCAAGTTTCTATCTTTGCTTGGCCATTACCATTCCCCTGGTTTTGGCAATATACTTTATCTGCCTGAGCTTCAGTTTCTTCCTCTATGCAACAGTGGCGACTGCAGTACATATTTCATGTGGATGCTGTGAGAAAGTCCAAAAGTAGCATTTTATGAGCAAGGCCCACAGGAATAGCAATATAACACTTTGCTTAGGATGTAAAAAAGATTTACATGCCTGGGTGTGGTGGCTTATGCCCATAATTCCAGCACTTTGGGAGGCGAAGAGAGGAGAATCATTTGAGACCATCCTGGGAAATATAGTGAGACCCTGTCTCTACAAAAAATTTAAAAAATTAGCCGAGTGTGGTGCCATCCTCCTGTAGTCCTAGCTACTGCAGAGGTTGAGGCAGGAGGAGTCCTTGAGCCCAAGAGTTTGAGGCTGCAGTGAGCTATGATTGCACTACTGTACTCCAGCCTGGATGACAGTAAGTCCTCATCTCTTAAAACACACACAAAAAAGGACTTAAATCAGTGAAGACACCTCTTCTTTCCAAATAAAAGATATTTTAAAATATCATTTCTTTTCTAAATTAATGCTTGTTTTTCACTTTTTACAAAATGCAGTTCATTTAAATCACAGTCCCAGGATTGTGGTTGCATTGCATAAATACAGTCATGTATTGCTTAGCAGTGGGGATATGTTCTGAGAGATGCTTTGTTAGGCAGTTTCATCGTTGTATGAACATCATGGAGTGTACTTATGTAAAACTAGATGATATAGCCTACTACATACCTAGGATATATGGTATAACCTATTGCTCCTAGGCTACAAACATGTTACTGCACTGAATACTCTAGAACACTGTAACACAAGGGTAAATATTTGTCTTCCTAAACCTAGAAATGCCAAAATGTTGTTATGTGGTACATGATTGCGTTAGTCTTTGACTTACCATTAGGAGTGAAAATACCATGGCAGGTAGCAGATTTGTTAAGCACCTGCATTCCAGAGCTGCACCAGCAGTGTCTTCTCAGGAAGTGACATTTGAGCTGAGGTTCAAAGCTTGACTGGAAGGATTAAGGGAGAAGAGCAAGCAGCATTCCAGGTAGAAGGGCCAGCATGTGCCAAGGCCTTGAGGTGGTGGGATGCGTGATCCTGACAAAGATGAAAGGAGGGCAGATTCACCTAGTGTGCTGCGCTGTCATAGAGCCTGATGCTAGGCACGTAGTAGAAGTGAGCGAACGTTTGCTTCAAGGTGATGGATGGTTCAGGATCTGACAGACAAGGCTTCTGTGGATCCTGATGCCTGTTCCACTAACTTCTCTACAGAGTCCTCATGTCTTTTACCATTTCATATGTGTTCAGCTGCACATGACAGATCATCTCATACGATCTTCACCCTGAGGGATAGTATTATCTCACGTACTAAGAAGCTCATTGGTGAGGCTGGCTCCCGGGTTGGTGGGTGCCAACCCAGATGTCTGTTTCTTTGCTTCCCTGGTCCAGGTGTCTAGGCAGGTTCCCTCACTGAAGTCCCAGGATGCTGCATGTCAACACAAGTGGCAGAAACCCTCATTCAGCCGTTCCTGGAATAAAGGCTTTGTCTCTCCTCAGAGTGGCTGGTTTAAGTCACCTGTCAGCCTCAGTCTCCTGGTGATCAGGGATGCCATTTGCAAGATGAAGCAGACCAAGGCTTTTCTACCTGCCATGGGGGATGTAGTCACCTGGGGAATGATTAGAATCTGATGTCCAGGCCTCACACTCAGATTTTGTTTCAGTTGGTCTGCAGTTGCAACGAGGCATTCCCAGGTGTTGCTGATTCACAGGTTAAGGCTCTGTGACTTGTATTAATTATCAAATCCCTTCAGGAAAGATGTCCGAACAGTGTTTAGATTCTATAAGAAGGAGTTCAAAGGGAATTGATGCCATCTACACAGGCAGCACTACTATCGACTGTCTTTGGGGCCCAATGATGGCTTTTTCACAGTTGGTTTCCAGGTTGTAGTTGAGGCATTTGTTTACTTAGATGAGAATAGCTTCATTTCAAGGTCTTCCCCATGTTGAAGTGCCAGACTAGATTGAAAGGTTTCTTCCAACCAAACACCCTGTGTCCTCTTTTGTTCTCCATGCACAGGTTGTTCTTTGTCTAAACCAGAGCCGATCTACCAGTTGGAGCCCAACCAGGACTTCTGGGCGGTGGAGGAAGATCTCTTCCAAAACTCCTGTCCAGGTAGGAGCCAGCAGCTGGGAAGGTTGGGGTGATGCCAGATGGAAAGGTGAACACTGCCTCTGAAGTTTGTGGGAATCTTCTTGTTGTGGCCTCTCTGGGGGTCTGGGGTCCATGGAGCCATTTAACCTGTGGTCTCTGTGCCCTCCACCCTGCTCAGCCCCCTCACACTCTTCACTGCTCGTGGGGAGGTGTGGAGTACATTGCATACGTTCAGGCTCTTGGCCCTAACTGCTTGGGCTTTAAAACTAGCTTTGACATGAAACAGCCATGTGATCCCAGGGAAGCTGCATGATCTTGTGCCTTTGCAGTAAGTTTGGCTACATTAAATCTAGCTGCTCTAACAGGTATACTCCAAGATGTTGGTGGCTCACAATATGAAAATAATTTTTCTCACACCAGGGGCCTGTGGGTCATTGAGGAGCTCTGTACCACACAGTTATTCACAGAGCGAGGTGCCTTCTGTCGTCAGCGTGAGGTATTAAGGCTTCCCTGGCATCCTCCAGCTGGTAGCAGGGAAATGAGAAGAGAAGGGAAGGTGGTACACCCACTTCCACACACATTACTTCCCCTCACATTCCAGTGACAAGACTTTTGGCCACACTTGGGTACCCTGGGAGAAGAGCAAATGGTTTGATATACATCTAGTCAGTCCACTGTGCTCAGTTAGTTTTTTTTCCTTGCCTTTCATCATTATTCCCAAGCTGCTCAGTTAGTTTTTAAAGAATTGTAGTAGTGTAGGGTATGATGGCCTGTGGCTGTAGTCCCACCCACTTTAGAGTCTGAGGTGGGAGGATCACTTGAGCCCAGGACTTCCAGATTATGGAGTGTTATGATTGGGCTTGTGAATAGCCACTGCACTCCAGCCTGGGCAACATAGCAAGACCCCATCTCTAAAAATAAATAAAGAAATAAAAAGAATTCTATTCCTAATAGCTTTATGTCATTGGATTGTTTGAGGATGTGATAGATTATGCATGAAAGTGCTTGACACTGTGCCTGAATCATAGTGACTGGCTCTGTGAAAGTATGGTATTAACATTCATACCACGTTACTAGTTTTAATGAAAAGTGATAATATCATATTTTCATCTGAACTGTGAGGAAACAAGGTCTTTCCTACTCTGCTATACATACCCCTTTCCCACCTTCTCCCTCCACCCATCATCTGAGGGTCGATGAGATACTTAGAAGTAGTGACTTTTCTAGAACCTAAAGGTGCCATTTGGCCTTCTCTGCCCCACATCTGGGCAGCTGAGGGCGCTGGGACCATCACATGTGGTGATTAGCACCACCCCAAAGTTATGGTCTCTCCCCTCTGTTAGTCCCGTGGGCAGCTTACCCAGCCCAGGAATGTGTCTTTTCAGCCCTTCTGAGTCTGTTCTTGTCCTTCATTCTTCAGTCCCACATCTCCTGTGAATGTGGACAAGGCACCTCAAGCTGAACATGCCTGAAAAGGAGCTCTTGATGTTGCCCACTTCTCCCATATACCAAGTATCAGTGAATGGTCATGCCCTGTAAGCAAATCAGAAGACTGGGTACAGTCACAGACAACTCCTATACACCTCCAAATCCATCAATCCCTACGTCCAGACATTTCTAAATCCTGTCCATTTTGTATCATGCATGTCTCTTGAATCCATCCCCCTCACTGCCTGCATTAGACTGTGTGTATACCTACCCCTAGTCTCATCATCTTTTTTCTGGGTGATGCCAAACCACTCCGTTCTGTTCTCACATCTCTGCTTCTGCTCTGCTCTGTCTCCTGCATCAGCTCCCCCAGCCTCTCAGATCTGTTCCCAACATCTGCCACTCCCCTAGTCACTGATGTCTCAGCATATTTTTATGTGGAAAATAAGAGTCTGTGTTCATATGTTGCCTGATTCTCAACCCTTACACATTCATCTAAATCTCTCATATGTGTTATCCTCCATTATCACCTCCCTAGAGGTCTTGCCCTGGACCTTGGCCAATTCCTGCCCCAGAATCTAGATCATACCTCTTCAGGGAACTTGTTTCTTTACTTCTTTTCTGCTTCTTCTCCAACTTTATTCTCTACTCAGCTTAAAACATGCTCAATTTCCTTACATTAGGGGAAAACAAAACAAATAAATTCCTCTCTAATGGCTTCACACTAGTGTGTATTCTACTTTCCCTGTGCAATCAATCTTCTTGGTGAAATTATCTCATACTTGTAAGAGATGTATACACTTGTGTTCAATATCTTCCATTTGCTCATATAGTCTTTTCCTTTTTGAATGAGATATAACTCATGTTGTGCAAAAATCTTAAGAAGTCTACTTGATGAACTTTTGTTTATATGTAAACGCAAGTAACCACCACCTACATCAATACGTATACAGGCTATGTACAGCACCTCATTAGGGTCTTAGGCCCTCAGTAGCCTCTTTTGTTCTGCCATCCCATATTTTAGACTCTGTCTGCATAGATTAGTTCTGGCTGTTCTTGAACCCCCCAGAATGCTGTCCGTTGTCTCTGTTGTCTTTTTTTTTTTTTTGAGACAGAGTCTCACTTTGTTGCCCAGACTAGAGTGAGTGCCGTGGCATCAGCCTAGCTCACAGCAACCTCAATCTCCTGGGCTGAAGCGTTCCTCCTGCCTCCGCCTCCCAAGTAGCTGGGACTACAGGCATGCGCCACCATGCCCAGCCAATTTTTTGTATATATATTTTTAGTTGGTCAATTAATTTCTTTCTATTTTTGGTAGAGACAGGGTCTTGCTCAGGCTGGTTTTGAACTCCTGACCTGGAGCGATCCGCCCGCCTCAACCTCCTAGAGTGCTAGGATTCTGTTGTCTTTTGATCATCATGTCTATGAGATTCATTTCACATAGTTGTATACAGTTATAGTTGGTTCATTCTCAGTATGTTGTAGTATCTCTTTGTGTGAAAACTGCTATTCATTTCTTTCCTCTCAATGGAAATTCCTGTTGTTTTTAGTTTTGGGATACTGTGAAGAATGCTGCTGAGAATATTATTGTTCATGTTTTCTGTGGATGTAAGCACTGATTTCTGTTAGGAATATACTCTAGTGTGTGTACAGGGCAGATCATGGAGTAGGTGTATGTTCAGCTTTAATAGAAACTGCCCAGCCATTCTGCAGAGTGGCTGCACCATCATACATTCCCACCATTGGCCTGTGAAAGCTTCCCTTCCTTGCTCCATATCCTCATCAGCACTTGGTAACTTTCCCTTAACTCTTTGAGTACTTGTGATCCTGTTTCTCTGTACCACAGCAGTGAAACCATCGCAAGGTCACTGCTTTCATCCTGATTTTAAACACAACAGTGAGAATAATGATAAATCATGATGGCCTCTAATTTATTGAACTCTCATGAGATATCTAGCATTGTGCCAAGTCCTTCATGGGAATTTTCCTATTTAACTCTCAGCTCAGCCTATGAGGTAGAAACTGAGAGTCTCTTAGTTTTTTCACATGAGGAAATTGAGACTGAGAGCAGCTAAATGAATTTGTTTAACACCAACTGTCTTGGTATAGGCAGGATTTGAACTGAGGGGTTCTCGCTTCAGAGACACACTCTTAACCTTGCAGCAGTATCACCTCATGGTACAGCACAAACTTTTCAGATTTTTCTGTGCTTGAGCATCTGGCCGTTTTGAATTCTCTTTCCTTTTTCTCATGGATTTTCATTCTTTTCTTACTCTGATCTCCACTTTAATATTGGCTTTATCAGGCATCTCAGAGCCCATCCTTTTTACCCTTAAATACTTTCCAAGATTAATCCCTGTGTTTTTACATTTTCAATTTACATACTTCCATGTTAGGTCCCAGATGTATATTCTTTAACTAACTCATAATAAAATATGATAGCTAGTATGCACTGGTTTCTTTCTTGGTGCCCTGCTCCATGCTGCACGTGGATACACAGTGTTTTACTTCATCTTCCCTATAGTCCTATAAGGCAGGCCCTATCTTTAGCCCTATTTTTTTGAAGATTAAATGTAGGCTTATGGAATTTGAGTGGCTTGCTAAGTGCCACAATAAAAACTAATATTGAGTTCGCTGGAGCTGGGCCTAGAATTTTTCTGGGTTTTTTGGTTGTTGTTTTTTTTTGACAGAGTCTTCCTTGGGCAGCCTCAAACTCATGGCCTCCAGTGATCCTTCTGCCTCATCCTCCCGAGTAGCTGGCACTACAGATACATGCCACCACACCTGGCTAATTTTTTCTATTTTTAGTCACCTGGCTAATTTTTTCTATTTTTAGTAGAGATAGGGTCTCACTCTTGCTCAGGCTCATCTTGAACTACTAATCTCAAGTGATCTGCCTGCCTTGGCCTCCCTGAGTGCTAGGATTACAGGCTTGAATCACCACACCTGGCCATGAGATCTTAAACTATAATATACAAATAGCCTCTCTTTATTAGTGGACCTCAGGTGTTCATATTTTGATTAATAATGAACATTGGCTCGTGACACACTCTGATCATTAATCCATGAATAACCCTGATTAATTAATATGCTAATTTAATTATTTGCTTATTAATTTCATAACATCACCCAACTCAAGAATGAGAACATTACTCATATACCCTATTGTTAGCAAGTTTGAGTTGCTATGACAAGAATGCCATAACCTATGTGTCTTGAGCAACAAACATTTATTTCCTATAGTTCTAGAAGCTGAGAAGTCCAGGATGAAAGTACTGGCACATCTGGTGTCTGGTGAGGGCCTACTGCCCGATTTGCACATGGCCATCTTGTATCCTCAGCATGGTGAGAAGCGGAGACAGGAAACAAGCTCTGGTGTTTCTTCTTATAAAGGCATTAATCCCATCATGGGGGCTCCACCTTCATGGCCTAATTGCCTCCTAATGGCCCCATCATCAAATAGCATCACATTGCACATTAGGGTTTTAACATATGAACTCTGTGGGACACAAATATTCAGTCTCTAGCACCAGCCTGCCTACCTCTATCTATGGGTTTCTTCCCTTTTCCATTTTGTAACTCCTTCACAGAGACAACTTATGGCCTGAATTATGGTTTTATTATCCCATCTTTTTTGTGGGAAAGCTTTTACATATAAATTCAATTTGTTCAGTAGATCTAGGACTATTCAGATGTTCTGTTTCTTTTTATGTCAGTTTTGGTAATTTATGTCTTTCAAGAAGTTTGTCTGTTTCTTTAACTCAGGCATCCTCAAACTATGGCCCGCGGGCCACATGCGGTTGTTTTTGCCCATTTGTTTTTTTACTTCAGAATAAGATATGTGCAGTGTGCACAGGAATTTGTTCATAGTTTTTTTTAAAACTATAGTCCGGCCCTCCAACGGTCTGAGGGACAGTGAACTGGCCCCTGTTTAAAAAGTTTGAGGACCCTTGCTTTAACTTGTCACTCCAGTATTTTTCAGGATTGTCTTACAGTATGTCTGTGCATGCATGTGTGTATGTGCATCTAAACAGTGTATTGCACACTTTTAATATTTTTTTAAATTTTTTAAAACTTGGTGTTGTGGTTGATGTAGTTTTCTGGTATATGCTTCTTTAATTTGTGTTATCTAACTTACATTCATGATGCCTGATGCTATAGGCATCACTTATTCCATTGGTTGACTATATCACAGTGTACTCATCTATTTCCTGGGACATTTAATTGTCTATGTTTTTTTTTCCCTCACAAAAGTGCTGCCATGAGCTTTTATGTACATGTATTCCTTGTGGACATGTGCAGAGGTTTCTCATGATAATGTTCCTAAAAGTGGAGTTATTGGATTATAGTTTATACTAATGTTCAGCTTTTCAAGGTAATATCCATTGTTTCCTAACGAGGTGATGCCAATGTACACTTCCTTCAGGAAAGTGTGAGAGATCCATTTATCTATAACCTAACAACTGATATAAGCCTCTTTTGCCATTTTTTTAGTAAAATGGGTACATAATCGTATCTTTATGTTGTGATTTGCAGTTTTCTCATTGCATGCATTTAAGATGCTCCTGTGAGCATCTTATCACATGATTTTTGACCATTCTCTATTTTCTTCTGAGAAATGTCATTTCAGATAAATGCCTGTTTTTTTATTAACTTATTTGCCTTTCTCTTTTGGATTTGTGCATTCTTTGTACATTCCTAGTAAAACTAATACAATGCATTTTATTATACTGTGATATATTCTTCTAGATTTTAAATTTTGTCTTTCTAATCTCTTTAAAGTATCTTTTGTTGAATAGAGTTTCTTATTTTACTATAATTTTTAATCCCTTTTATGAGCACTACTTTTGTGTCTTGATTAGGAAATCTTGCTTTAACCACAATATCAGTAAGATATTCTTGTTTATTTTATACAAAAGTTCGAAGAGACCAGGAGTTTGAGACAAGCCTGGGCAATATAGTGGGAACCTGTCTCTACAAAAAAATTTAAAAATTAGCAAGACATGGTGGTATGTGCTTGTAGTCTCAGCTAATAGGGAAGCTGAGAGAGGAGGGGTTCAGGGCTGCAGTGAGATGTGATCGTACCACTGCACTCCAGCCTGGGCGACAGTGAGACCTGTCTGTAAAAACAAAACAAAACATAAAAAACTCTCAAAATAACAACAAAAATCTTCATGCTTGATATTGAGTCTTTATCAAACTGAGCTTGATTTTGAGCAAGATGGAATGATATAGCAATGGAATTTTATTTATTCCACATGTCAGTACCCAGTTTTTCTGTGCCTTTTACTAAATATTTCCTTTTACTACTGAGGTGCTTGCTGTACCTCCTCTGCTATCTATCAAAGTTCCATCTGCGTAAATGGATTTATGAGCTCTCTACTCTTTTTTCATTGTCAGTTTCTCTTATTCCTGTGCAAGTACCACACTATCTTAGAGTCTATAATTTCAAAATAATTCTCTAGCCTAATGTGGTGGGTCCCCCTTTTTATTTTCCTGCAGGGATATTTTGGACATAGCTTTTTCATATACATTCTAGAATCAGTTTTAAAGTAACCTGATAAAACGTGTTGTGATTATATATGTATTTATACATTGATTTGGGTAGAATTGATGATTTTATATATTAAGTCCATATAGATATTATTGTTTTGAAGTAAAGTTTTATTTTTCTCTATCAGATTGTGTCTTTTTCTAATCTTTTTAGGTTGCTGTTTTAGGGTTGTATTGAGTTTATAGATCAGTTTTGGGAGAATTGATAACTTTATGTTATTAATTTCTTCATACATATTTTTATTATCTTTAAATACAGTTTTTAATTTTTTTTTCCAAGATTCAGTCTGTTTTGTTAGCCACTTCGCTTATCTCTTCCTCTCTGACACAGTGGACTCAACATGTCTGTTCAGATCCTGTTCACCTTGTGTCTTAGGATCCCTGTCTTGGGAGTGTCCGTAGCTATCGCCAGCTGTCCCCAAGGCAGAATCTTGGGCATTAGCTTCTTCTCTGCCCCCACATGTTTCTGTGTCCTCACCAACCCACCTGTCATGGGGCTGCATCCTCTTGCTGCAGTTCCCTGCCTTTTTATGTCCGTTTCCTAAGGCTGAAGGGTCCTTTCCATCTTCTTTCTATGACAACTGCACCTCTCCTTTAGGACTCAACTCATGAGGTACCACCTCTGGGAAGCCTCCCTGGCTTCTTCATGTCTCCCATCTAGGCTGCATTGAGTCCCCCTTCCCAGGCCTCTGTAGCACCTTGACATGTTCTTGCTTTGAGTAAATTCACTACACACAGCATTATCTTTACTCTGTCCACCCAGCCCAGTCTTGACTGTGAGCAGGGCTCTCTATTCCAGACACTCTGTCCCTAGTCCCAGCTTCTTCCTGTGGGTTTCCCTTTAAAAGTGTCAAGAGTTCAAGCACCAAAGAGAAAGAAATTGCAAACCTGGATTTCAGGAATTTCAAATCATAGCTTGCTGGGAGTTCCCCAGCTGACAGGGCCGAAAACAGGGTGTCGCGCAGGAATAAGAAAAGAGACAGTAGAAGAGAAAGAAAGTGGAGTCAGGGGACTCAAGGTTTTCCATACCAAGAGCCCCGAGAGTAATTCCTCACTCGTGTTTATTCATCCCAGGAATAAAAGATTATCGAAATCAGACAAACAGACATATTCTAAAGACATCCCCAGCCAATGTTCTTTAGATTTCCGTTACATCTCAAAGCTATTTCTAGCCTAAAGCTAAACAAGAACATCAATTTGGGATTGCGGACAGGCAAGTTTTCCAGCAGGTTGAGGTTCCTGATAGCAGTCCTGGAGCAGTTTTCTGCCCCAGGAGAGAAACCGTTTTTAGTTCTTGCCCTTGGAATGTCCTTACCATTTGGAAGACAGCCACACCTATGCAGACTGTTACATCCGCAGAGGTTCTTATGCCAACAATATCCCTAGGTCACCCTACCATTTCTAAGCTATCCCAACAATAGCTATTTTCAAATCATCACTATTTTTATCTTCTCGTTCTCACTGAAATAGGGATTTTGTTTCTTCCATGTGGCCATGCCTAATAAGCCCTTTTGTCTATTGAATTCCCTTCAGGTGACAGCACACAACCCAGGACAACAGAGCCTACCTTTCCTTACCTGACCTTGCCTGAGGAAGTCTCACTCGAGGAGCAACTGACACAGGGATCCTCAGGGGACTCCCAACTGGAGCAAGCCAAGGATCAGGATGGGCCATCAGAGATGCAGGAAGGCCACTGGAGACCAGGGATGGACCTGCAGGAGACGCTCCCTTGGAAAATGAGCCCTGAACATGATGGTTTGGGGACAGATGATGGTTTATGTTCAGTGATTATACAGGAACAAGTCTCTCCAGAAGATGATCTTTGTGTATGCAACTCATGTGGAGCAGTTTCGTATCCCTTGATCCAGGAAGGTGAAAATTCCTATAAATGTGAGGAATGTGGGAACGTGTTTAACAAGAATTGCCTCCTTGTTCAACATGAGCAGATTCACATTCAGGTGAAGCCCTATGATTGCACAGAATGCGGGAAAGCCTTTAGCAAGAGCAAACACCTCCTTCAGCACCACATCATCCATACAGGGGAGAAGCCCTACAGGTGCCTGGAGTGTGGGAAAAACTTCAACCGCAGGTCACACCTTACACGGCACCAGCAGATTCACACTGGAGAGAAGCCTTATGAATGCAGTGAATGTGCAAAGGCCTTCAACCGCAGATCACACCTTACACGGCACCAGCGGATTCACAGTGGAGAGAAGCCTTATAAATGCAGTGAATGTGGAAAGGCCTTTACCTACCGCTCCAATTTTGTCTTGCATAGCAGAAGCCACACTGGAAAAAAACCCTTTGAGTGCAACGAATGTGGGAAAGCCTTTTGTGAGAGCACAGACCTCATTCAGCACTACATCATCCACACTGGGGAGAAGCCCTATAAATGCATGGAGTGTGGGAAGGCCTTCAACTGCAGGTCACACCTCAAGCAGCACCAGCGTATTCACACTGGGGAGAAGCCTTATGTGTGCAGTGAATGTGAAAAGGCTTTCACCCACTACTCTACTTATATCCTGCATAAAAGGGCCCACACTGGAGAAAAACCCTTTGAGTGCAAAGTATGTGGAAAATCCTTTAGCATTGGGAAAGATCTCATACGGCACTTTAGCATCCACACTGGAGAGAAGCCCTATGAGTGCCTAGAGTGTGGAAAGGCCTTCACCCGCATGTCGGGCCTCAGGAGGCACCAGCGGGTTCATACTGGAGAGAAGCCCTATGAATGCATCGAGTGTGGGAAAGCCTTTTGCCGGAGCACAAACCTTATTCGACACTTTAGCATCCACACCGGAGAGAAACCATATGAGTGTGTAGACTGTGGGAAGGCCTTCAACCGTAGGTCACCCCTCACAAGGCACCAGCGGGTTCACGCTGGAGAAAAGCCCTATCAGCGCATCAAGCGTAAGAAAGTTTCTTGCCAGAGTGAAAACCTCATTCAGCACTCCATCATTCAAACTGAGAGTAGCCCTATGCATGCAGTGAATGTGGAACAGCCTTCAGACGCAGCTCATCCCTCGCTCAGCATCGAAGGATGCATACTGGAAGAAACCCTACCAGTGTAACAAATGTGGGAAGACCTTTTATAGGTGTGCAAACTTGAGTCAACATCCAAGAACTTCTATTAGGGAAAGATTTTTTCATATAACTACTGAAGAAAATCTGTGGTCAGAGGAAACATCTTACTCAGCATCTGGCCATTCATACTGAAGAGAAACTCCTAAGTGCTATTTGTATGGAAAAACTTGTGATAGATCCTCATTTGCCATCTAAAGAATCATGTTAGAAATTGACCCAGCCTGGACTCTCATTCTGTGTCTGAGAATTCACCCACTGGTTGCTGTGCACATACGAAAACATTCAGCCACTTCTTCTTAGTTTACAGTGAAATGTTTTCTCAGTTATATTAAAAGAAAGGAGGAGGAGACATAGAAATGAGAAAGAAATGGGAGCACAGCTTCTTTCAGACTTCCCTGACAAACTCATGGCCATTTGTCATTCCTTGTTTTATTCGAGGAGAGGTAAATGTTTCAGAAACAGAAGGGCTTTGCCCTCATTATTTTTCCCTGTGTATACATTCACTGCTATCTAGTGTCGGTACAGTTAGACAAATGAGGTTATTTTTAAAAACATGCTGTGAAAGCCTGCTTTGTTCCACAGCATTGTCTCTACCCTTGAGAAGCAGGAGCATAAGTTTGTATGAGAAATAATAGAGGCTTGAGTTATGAAATAATTTTATCTTTAAGGAGCTAGGATGTACATGTGAATGGACATATTTTACTGTACACTCGAGACTGATTTTTCAAAAATCAAATTGCTTCTGCATGTGGTTTTAGCCACTGAGTACCCATTTTCTTGATCTTGATTTACTTGTTTATTTCTTTTTCCTTTTTTTTCTTATTTTTCTGTGGGATTGGAATGATAGTATAACTGTTTGTACATAGTTATAGCCCAGTGGAGCCCTAATTCTTCCCTGTGATTGTGATTTCTCAAATCTTTACTCCTTTTTGGACTGACTCTTCCAATTCCACCTAAACAATTTTCTAGAGATCTCTTATAGCCAAAACAAAATATAACATACAGCTAAATTAAGTTAAAGGATTATGATAAACTCAGAAAAACAAAAGTGAAGGAATCTCATTTTTCATTTTATAAAAGATTGTGTGATGATTCTAAAGTGACTGGAATTTTAACAGGTGGACACATATGTGTATATGCAAGTAGGTGTGAGTTTCACAATTACCACCATGGACTGAGTCCCCATTGTAATAATTAATATCTTTAGTCAGGATAATTTGGAATTCCTTCTTTGGTATTTTTTTTTTTGCTTTTAATTATTTTTAATTGACACATAATTGTACACATTTATGGGGTATCGTGTAATATTTTGATACATACATACAATGAGCAGTGATTAAATCAAGGTAATTAGCATATCAGTCACCTCAAATATCATTTCTTTTTGTTGGAAACATTCAAAATCTGTTGTAGTTCTTTGAAAATATATATAATGTTATTACTAATTATACTCAACCTGCAATGCCAGAGAACACTAGAACTTTTTCCTTCTATCTAGCTGTAATTTTTTTCTATTCTACCTACTGCAGTTAGTTGTAATTTTGTATCCATTAACAAACCCCTTCCTATCCCTTCTCCCTACTATCCTTCTCAGATTGTATTAACCACTGTTTTACTCTCTACTTCATTAGATGAGCTTTTTTGGCTTCCAAATATGAGAGGGAACATGTGGTATTTATTTTTCCATGCCTGGCTTATTTCATTTAACATAATGTCCTCCAAGCTTATCCATATTGCTGTGAATGATGAGATGTCATTCTTTTTCATGGCTGCATAGTACTCAATTATCTGTATATACTACTTTTTTTGCCCATTCATCTGTTGATGGACACTTAGGTTGATACCATATCTAGGCTATTGTGCATAGTACTACAATAAACATGGGATTACAGATATTTCTTTGATACACTGATTTCCTTTCCTTTGGCTATATACCCAGTAGTGAGATTGCTGGGTCATATGGTATTTCTATTTTTAGTTGTTTTTTGTTTGTTTTGTTTTTTGAGATGGAGTCTCATTGTGCTGCTCAGGCTGTTCTCAAACTCATAGGCTCAAGTGATCCTTCCACCTCAGCCTCCTGAGTAGCTAGGACTACAGCACATCCTGTGCCCAGTTCGGTATTTAGGTTTTTGGGAAACATCCATACTGTTTTCCATGATGGCTTTACTAATTTACACTCCTACCAACAGTGTATAAGAGTTCCTTTCTCCACATCCTCACCTGTTTATTTTTTGTCTTTTTGATAATAGCCATTGTAACCGGGGTGATATGGTATTTCACTGTCTTTTTGATTTATATTTCCTTGATGATTAGTGATGTTTAGCATTTTTCAAATCTGATGGCCATTTGTATGTTTTTGTTTTTGTTTTTGTTTTTTTTCTCTGTCACCTGGGCTGGAGTGCACTGACATGATCATAGCTCACTGCAGCCTCCACTTGCTGGGCTTAGGCGATCTTCCTGTGTCAGTCTCCTGAGTAGCTAGGACTTACAGGTGTGTGCCACTGTACCTGGCTAATTTTTTTTTTTAATAGATGGGGTCTCACTATGTTGCTCAAGCTGGTGTCTAACTCCTGGGCTCAAGTGATCCACCTGTCTTGGCCTCCCAAAGTGCTGGGATTACAGGCGTGAGCCACTACTTCTGGCCTGTATGTCTTGTTTTAAGAGATGTCTCTTTAGCCCATTTTAAAATCAAATTGGTAGAATTTTTTTTTGTTGTGGTTTTTGAGTTGTATATTCTGGAGATTAATCCCTTGTCAGATGAATAGTTTGCAAATATTTTCTCCCATTATGCTGGCTTTCTCTTTATTGTTTCCTTTGCTATGCAGAAGATTTTTAGTTTGATATAATTTTGTTTATTTTTGCTTTTATTGCCTGTGCTTTTGAGGTCTTAGCCATAAAATCTTTGCCCAGACTGATGTCCTGATGCATTTCTCTTATGTTTTCTTAGATATAAGTCTTTAATGCACTTCGAGATTATTTTTGTATATGGTGAGAGATAGGGTCCTAGTTTCATTCTGCATATGGATATACATTTTCTTAGCACCATTTATTGAAGAGACTATCTTTTCCTCAGTGAGTGGTCTTTGTGCCATTGTCAACACTCACTTGGCTGTAAGTAATGCAGATTTATTTATTGGTTCTCTGTTTTGTTCCATTGGTCTATGTGTCTCTTTTTATGCCAGTGTTTTCTGTTTTGGTAACTATAGCTTCATAGTATATTTTGAGGTCAAGTAGTGTGATACCTCCCATTTTGTTCTTTTTTGCTCTGGATTGCTTTGGCTATTCAAAGTCTTTTGTGATGCCCTATGAATTTTAGGATTACTTTTTCTGTGAAGAATTTCATTGGTATTTTAATAGGGATTGCATTGAATCTGTAGATCACTTTGGAAGTATGTTAATTTTTACAATATTCTAATTTATGAACATAGGGTGTCTTTCCATTTTTTTTGTGTCCTCTTCAATTTCTTTCATCAATGGTTTGTAATTTTCATCATAGAGGTCTTTCACTTGGTTAAGTTTATCCTTAGGTATTTTATGTCTGTTATAACTATTGTAAATGGGACTGCTTTCTTGATTTCTTTTTTAGCTACTTTGTTGTTAGTATATAGAAATGGTACTGATTTTTGTATATTGATTGTATATCCTGCATCTTCACTGAATTTGTTTATCAATTCTAAGAGTTTTTTGGTGCAGATTTTAGGGCTTTACATTTATGTCTACATACAAGAAAAATTTTGACAACCTCCTTTTAAATTTGGATACCCTTTATTTCTTTCTCTTACCTAATTCCTCTGGCTATGACATCCAGTACTATGTTTAATAAAAGGGGTAAAAGTGGGCATCTTTGTTTTGTTCCAGATGTTAGAATACATTCAGCTCTTTGTTGTTTAGTATGATATTAGTTATGGCTTTGTTATTTATGGACTTAATTATGTTGAGACACATTCCTTCTATTCATAATTTGTTGAGAGTTTTTATCATAAAAGGATGTTGAATGTTATCAAATGTTTTTAATGCATCTATGGAGTTGATCGTATGGCTTTTATCTTTCATTCTGTTGATGTGATATATCATGTTTATTGTTTTGTATATGCTGAACCATCCTCATATCCCTGGGATGAATTCCACTTGGTTATGATGAGCAATCTTTTTGATGTGTTGTTAGATTCAGCTTGTTCAGTATTGTTTGAGGAGTTTTGTATCTGTGTTCATCAGGAATATTGGCCTATAGTTTTTATGTTCTTGTTTGGTTTTGGTGGCAGGGATGTGGGCTTGTAGAATGAGTTTGTAAGAATTCCCTGCTCTTCAGTATTCTTAAAGAGTTTGAGAAGAATTAGTATTTACTTCTTAAATGTTTGGTAGAATTCAGCAGTGAAACCATCAGGTTATGTACTTTTCACTGATGGGAGACTTTTTATTACTGATTCAGTCTTGTTGCTCATAATTGGCCTGTTGAGTTTTCTATTTCTTTTTTTCTTTTCTTTCAGGTTTTCTATCTTCTTGTTCAAACCTAGTAGATTGTACTGTCCATGAATTTATTCATTTCCTCTAAATTTTCCAATATTTAGTGTGGTGTTTTTCATAATAGCATCTACTAACTTTGTATATTTCTGGTGTCAGTTGTAATGTCTCATTTTTCATTTCTGATTTTGTTTATGTGGATCTTTTTATTGGTTTAGTGGCTTGTCGACTAATGGCTTGTTGACTTTATCTTTTTTTAAAAATCCAGCTTTTTGTGTCATTGATCTTTTGGCTTGTTAGGTCTCAGTTCTATTTATTTCTGCTCTGATATTTATTATTTGTTTTCTTCTAATTTGGGGTTTGATTTGTTCTTTTCTAGTTCCTTGAGAAGCATTGTTAGGTTGTTTACGTGAACTCTTTATATTTTTTGATGTAGACATTATTGTTATAGACCTCCCTCTTAAAACTGGTTTTGCTGCATTCTGTTGGTTTTGATATGTTCTGTTTCTATTTTCATTTATTTAAAGAAGTTTTTGGGTTTCCTTCTTAATTTCTTCATTGACCAATTGGGCATTCAAAAGCATGTTGTTTAATTTCCATATTTGTACAGTTTCAGAAATTCCTCTTAATGATTTCCAGTTTTATTCCAGTGTCGTCACAAAAGATACTTTCTGTGATTTTATTTCTTTTAAATTTGTGGAGATTTGCTTTGTGGCTTAACATGTAGCCTATCCTGGAGAATGTTCCATTTGCTTATCAAAAGAATGTGATTCTGCAGCTACTGGATGAAAAGATCTGTAAATGTCTGTTAGGCCCCTTCAATCTACAGTGTCATTTAAATTCAAGTTTCTCTGTTGATTTTCTATCTATATGATCTGTCCATTGCTGGAAGTGGAGTATCGAAGTCCTCAACTAGTATTGAATTAGAGACTATCTCACCAATTAGATCTAATATTATTTGCCTTTTATATCTTGGTGCTCTGGTGTTGGGTACATATATATAATATTTATAATTGTTATATCCTCTCGCTGATTTCATCTCCTTACTGGTTTACCTTTTTTTTTTTTTTTTTTTGAGACAGAGTCTCGCTTTGTTGCCCAGGCTAGAGCGAGTGCCATGGCATCAGCCTAGCTCACAGCAACCTCAAACTCCTGGGCTCAAGCAATCCTGCTGACTCAGCCTCCCGAGTAGCTCTGAGCTACTTGGCATGCACCACCATGCCCAGCTAATTTTTTCTATATATATTACTTGGCCAATTAATTTCTTTCTATTTATAGTAGAGATGGGGTCTCGCTCTTGCTCAGGCTGGTTTCAAACTCCTGATCTCGAGCAATCCACCCGCCTTGGCCTCCCAGAGTGCTAGGATTACACGCATGAGCCACCGCGCCCGGCCACTAGTTTAACTTAAAGTCTCTTTTATCTGATGTAAATATAGCTACTCCTGCTTTTGGTTTCTGTTTGTGTGAAATACCTTCTTCCATCCCTTCACTTTTAGTTTATGTGTGTCTTTACAGGTGAAGTGTGTTTATTGTATGCAGCATAGAGTTGGATCATTTTCACAATCCATTCAAATAGTTTATATCTTTTAAGTAGAGGATTTAATCTGTTTACCACGGTTACTATTGATAGATAAGGACTTACTCCTGTCATTTTGTTAATTGTGTTCTGGTTGTTTTGTATATCCTTTGTTCCTTTCTTCCTCTCATTGTTTAATCATTGTGTTTTGGTAGTTTTCTATAGTGATAAGATTTGATTCTTTTCTCTTCTTGTGTACCTGCTTTGCTAGTGAGTTTTGTAATTTTTCATGGTTTCATAATGGTGATTATCTTTTCAT